ACGGAGCCGCCGGCAGAGCAGATACCGCCGAGCAGACGCGCAGCCAGCACATGGCCCCAGGACGTACTGGCACCGGCCATGATCTGCCAGATGTTGACGGTGAAGAGGGAAATCTGCATGACTGGCCAACGTCCGTACTCCTCGGACCAGGGTGCCCATAGTTCGCACCCAATACCGTACAGGATCAAAAACCAAGCCATACCCGCTCTTGCGTTGGTGAAATGGTTGCTGCCGAGATGGTAGTGCTCGTTGAGCGGCCCAATTGCGTTGGAGTAGACCGCTGCGTTATAGTCTGTCGCCTGTTAGCCTCGTATGACTATACGGTTGGCAAGACCACTTACTCATGCTGGTTTGGCAGAGTCCAACGACAGTCAAAATCGCCCATTTCTTCTTGTTTGAGAACGCATACCCGGTCTTCTCATATGCGTTCACTTCGTTGAGCTCCAGGGGGCCGCTGGGTTGGGCTTGACGGCTGTGTGTCGCGATCATCTCTATCGCATCCGCAGCTTGCTTGTTGCGGGGGCCAGAGCCACCAGAACTGGCGTCGCTGTCGTTCCTAACTTGGGTCGTCATGATTTGGATGTTATCACTAAGTTCAGTCGTGGAAGGTGAACGGCCTGTAAGACACTGAACTCTAGATAAGGCAGAGTGCAGTCGGCGGTAAATCTGGGAATGTGAAGGTTGAAAGATGGAGAGTGCGGGGAGGCGACAGATCTTATGGCTGGCATGCACGACGGTGGAACTTGGGACGAGAGTCCCAGCTCTGTACTGACAAAAGTCAGCACATATGCAATACACCTCGATGTAGTGGACCCCGTTCACGGAAGCGCGAGACGGCCCGCCCCCTGCTACCATGGTTCTCTAATGCGTCCGCGCACATTTGCTCGCGATTACCAGCATCATCTTCTTCGATTCAATGTGACCATATTTCCGCTCTCAAATGGACTCAAGCAGAGATGCTACTAGCCTGGAGCGGCATCGAAAAACATCTCGCAACACCTCCTGCTCGACAGACGTAAGTTCATGCACACCAACCCCTCCCCAGGAATGAAAGTCTGGTTCGGAACAACGCGGGGAAGCATTACCACTACAACCACTGCAATGATGCAGGCACATCATGGGCCGAAACCCCTCGCTCAGAAGTAGCGTACCAGTTTACCATTTCCAGCCATCCTGAGAGGCACGTGAGCAAAACCCTCTCGCGTATGCTCTCCACACTCTATCTACATCGCTTTCCATTGGCCCGGGCAAATGGGCAAGTCCCATGAACAATACCTCATCACCACCTCACCACCTCACGATGCTCCGCCTCTCCACTGCGCAAGTGATTCTCAGGACCAGTCGAACACATCGTCCCCCTCATTACTGCCATCATCGCTCCACTCCCACTCTTCTTTACCCCACGGCCGCAACGGTGTCCAGCTAATTCCCCTTTTGCACTCAAACTCGCGCTGTAGAACTTGGAAGTGCGCGTCCAACTCTGCGCTCAACTGCGTAAGTGCCGCCGTCTCTTCCTCGGCACTGGATGTCGAAGTTATGTGCGTCGTATGGTTGCGTATCTCGTCTTCGCTGATGGGTTTGAAGAGATGCACCAGTGGCCGGGATCCGACTGGGGAACGGGAAGTGGAGTCGCAGTTATAGGATGTGAGTGTGATAGATGGCTTTCCGTCTTGTTCTTTCTCGAGCGTCTTTGTGTCTGGCATAGGCGCACTCCTCTCGCTTGTGTTCATATACTTTGCGTAGTCGTAGGCCATCTCTAAGTTCATCAAGGAGTCGCTATTTACCGCTTTGGTACTGACAGCGCCCCGTGTGGCTTCGTGTTGCGAATCTTGGCGTTGCGTTGACATAGCGGCGCTGATACTTACCTAGGTAGCTAATACCAGCATGAAATGAAGAGTTGTGTCACTTCTATACGCACTACAAACGCGATTTGAAACGTCACAAGCAAGCAGTCAGTCGCATGTCTCTCTGTTCGGAGACAAACGCTCATTGTTCGGTGATCAGCAAACCACCAGCAATGAGTGGTGTCAAAGGATTTGCCACGAGACTTCACAGTGCACGAGTTGTCTAGATGCGCAATGATGTTCGTGTCATGTATTGTTTCCACTGATGGCTACGGTATGCGTATGCACCAGTCGCAGACGTTGCTTCTGCTGTGCAAAGGTGTTCACCGATGTGTCTTCCCCATCGAGTAGCAGAGTCCTTCCACTTTGACCATGATAGTCAAGAAGATGGGCATACTAATGATCAAGATAATTCTTCCCCAGAAATCCGACTCCTAAACTAGCACCGAACTTTGGATGGTTGCGGGCGAATGTCCGCTCGTGAAGTGAGAGCCTGTGTGTGTCTGCGATTAGCGTGGGTCTGCCAGGAAAGGAAGTATATGCATACCACATAAGCCGCCGTTTCAATGCATACTCGGGATTTGATACAGTTCATGCCGGTCCCATAGCCTGCCACCAGTGCTTATGGGCAGAGCTGACTTTGTTACAGTAGCTGTCAAGCTCAGCGCGCTGCATAATCATGAGCTCTCGCTCGGGTGCAACCTTCTCAAGATCCATCTCGTGCTCCATGGCGCGTATGAGCAACACTTTGACCTTGATTTCGTGATCAACATGTACGCGATCAGTGATGGTGGTAGCAGCGGCGGCGGCGGCGGCGGTGGTGGTGACAGTAGGAGGAGGAGGAAGTTGATTGTTGACGATGTACCGGTCCAGCAATTCTTGTTGCACGCGTAGGCCCTAAGGATGTTAGCACAGATAGAGAATGAAGCTTTTCTAAGACTTACATCTTTGGAATTCTGTATACCAGGAATATCCATGGCCACTTGCAAGGCTACGATGCTGTCTTCGAGTATGTCCACATCATCCTGGACCGTCTCCTCTTGTTTAGCCGGGACCTCATACACCTTGGCATTTGGGTTTAGGCTGAGTGTGACGGGCTTCTGATGAGCTGCTCTGATAGTCTCTTCTGACTTGCCTCTCAGGTGTGGAGGTACGGACTTCTTGCGACTAGTGTCAGGTCGAGTCGAGACATTTGCAGTGGCCGCTGGAGCAGTTTCGGCAAGTGCCTTCTCCATCTTGAGCTCCCATGCCGAGAGTTGACTCTTTACGGGTGAAACTGAGCGTGTGGAAGCCTTTGATGCGACTGGCGTCTCTGGACGGCGATGGTATGGCGCAGACATGAGCTCCATCGTGCCCTTGGGAGGACCTGCGACGCGTGCGACTGGCTTCGTCACAGCTAGCTTGGGCCTAGAGATTTGAACGTTTTCTTTGACAGGCTCTGCCGGAGGTGAGGGAGAGCCAGAGCCTCGCACCAGGTCACGAGGGTAACCTGTACTGCGTGGAGCTGGAGCAGGCCACGCACCGATCCCAAGACCTAGAGATTTACCGTTTGTAGACATTGACGCCGGCAGCTGGCTGTGTTGTTGTGCTGCAGCAAGCATCTTCGCTTCCTTTCGAAAGGACTTGCTACGGCGGTCATGTTCCGGGTCACGGTTGAACCGAGGATCTGGAAGATCTCCGGGCCTGGCGATGCAATCAGGATCTGGTGTCCCTATTCACTAATTCAGCGATGTCTTATGTGTGCTCATGTATGGGCATACATACACGTCTCAGCCTCCGGGGGCGGTGCAGGGAAGGCATCCCATACAAAGGCCGGGGCCGCGCTCACTGTACATCAGTCAGCGTTTCCATACCAACATAGCAGCAGATTGACCTGCAGCGTCATCGAGAAAGCTCACCTGTATTCTTGGGCGTGAGGAACGGCATGCTCACTTTGCGAGCACGAGCGCTAGGAGATACTAAGTTCGCGGATGTTGAGACAAGGTTGGAAGAAGAAGTGCGGCCAAGGTTGTTGACGAGGCAGCCGACTAGCTCTTGCCGCCGATCGGATTCGAGGTGAGCGCGACTTCCCGAAGCGGAAGCAGCAGCCTGGAGCACCAGCAGCTGGAACCTTTGCTGGGTGACCACGAAATGACGTTGGCTTGCTAATCGAAAGACCACCAGGTAGGAGCGAGACTCAACTCAACTAACAGGCTTACTCGAATGGAATAGTAGCTATGCGATGGAAACTTGGAATATTGCTGTACGTGGAAAAACTATGCTCCAAAAAGCGAGATGACAAGATGATCTGAAGACTAGAGAATGGAAGAGGAGGCAGGACTGGGAAGAGCAAAGCCACGTCACGGGGCAACGGCGTCTCTCACCTCGAGAGGGACATAACATGTTTGGCTTCCCAGAGCTTACCATGATAGAGAGATGCTCTTTTGCATTACTAGAGTTTCGCAGATATAGAATAATTGGAAGACTTCTTGTTGTCCTTATCAGGCCCGAGCGGAGGCCATGAATGAGGGTGAGATTGAAGACAACGGGGGTGATTCGTCGCAATGCTCAAAAGCTGCGCTTGCGACCTCAGAGAATGCGTCTTTGTCTACGGCTACGTTGTCCTCCAAATATGCGTGTAGCTCTTCTCTTGGGTGATGTGCCCAGCGAGGTTTGTGCTGCCTCAGAAACGGTGCCACTAAGAGCCGGCCGCTAACCAAATTCATCGTTGATGACTACTACTATCCCACGTGAGACCGCGACAAGCGGAGATCTATTTCTACATCCGATCGTCGTGCACACAGGTTCGTTGGGCTTTGGGATTTCGCGTAGGCAGCGTTCGACGGTTCAGGGAACGCAATCACTCCTACGCACCGTACTCACGCCCTGGGTTTGCTTGCTTAACCACCTGCAGCGGCTGTTGCGCGTGGTGAGCTGCTCAAGGCTGCGAAAGCACGCACACTGGGTCTCCACGACCAGCTTCACTCACTTTCCTTTCTTCGTCATTCTTTCATTTAACGAGTCGCTACCTTAATTGGTAATAGGTGGATCAAACTGCACCTGCCACAATAGAGCAGCCTCGCACTTTCTTCGGTTGCGGCGAGGGAAACTTGCTCTCCCCAATCCGAACTCGCCATTTTCGCACTTCTCTCAAAAGTCATCAACTTCTTCCGCAAAATGGCGGGAAAAGTCACTTATTCACGGCGCCCAAACAAACGTCGCGCACCTCACGACCGCGATCCAGCAGATGAGAACGACGACCGTCACAAGCGGAGCAAAACAAATACCGAGCCAAATGGATCGCGGCTACCGACACCACCCTCAAGCCGACGAGGAAAGAAATCCTGGTTCAACGGTCCCGTCTCCATTCCTGATGACGACATGAACCCTCCGCGCTCCATCTTCGATAAGGTTCTCGAAAACAAGAAGCACCAAGCCCCAAAGCCGCATCAGCGCAGTGCCCAGGGTGACCGTGAGAATTTCAAAGGCCTTATGAAAACGGGGCACAAGTCGAGAGAACAAAATGGCTGGGCGAGGAACGGCTCTCTGCCAACGCCACCAGCGGAGGCCCAGAAGAAAGCCCACCAGCAAGCACGGAGAGATGAGAATTCCGCGCGGTACAAGGGAATCACTCACAGGAGCGAGCCGGCGACACTCAAGTCGTCACCCACGGCGCCAAACCAGACATCGCGGCTCTTCGAGCGGGTCATTAAAAATGAGCAGCCGAAAGCACCATATCAGCCGAAGACATACAAAGCTGAGGAGATTGCAGCACCACAGCGAACTATAATGGGGGAACGTCTGTCTAGAAGTTCAGACCAAGCCCGCAAGTATGTCTCAGACGACACTCACCTTATGCACAGAACTGACTGTATCAGATTCAAAATGAACCAGACCGACTCGCCTCTCCTGCAGCTCCCCGAAAACGTGAGGAATCTCATCTACACTTACGCACTTGGTGGTAAGACTATCAACATCGGCTACCAGACCTATCACCTTACCTTTGACCCTACAAAGCCCAAGAGGGTAAAGCGGGTTACACCCATCTTCAAGTACCAGTGCACAGTATGGGATGGTAACCAGAATCCCTCCAAGGCGAGATCCCAGCCGTGGGTCAAGAGTTCCACGGTGTTTACCTTGCTCAACGGTGTCTGCCGTCAGATGTACCAGGAAACAGCGACGCTGCCTTACAGGCTCAATCTGATCGCCTTCGACTCGTATAGCATCATGTTCAATTTCTTGTTCATGGAGGACCGCCTGCGTCGCGAGCATCTCGATACCTTCACCGAGCTTGTACTACCGGACCAGCTACCCGGGTCAAATGCACTCGCCCGCTTGAGCAACATCAGCAAGGTGTATCTAGGAGTCACACAGGAGGGAAAACCTAAGGGGTGGTACCGTGTAGTGCGTACTCAAGGCGAGGAGCCACGACTTGCAAGAGTCTTGAAGTAGTGTGAGGCATGCATGGCAGCATGAGTGTGCGCATGAGGGCTTGAGAGGAGTTTCGGTGCGACTGTATGGCATTTTTGTTTATCGGTTGCATGATACCCGGTATGGCAACGACGTTATGATCCAGCTACACGCCACCATTTCATGGCCAAGGCCAGTATCCATCTGGTAGCTTGAAATAAATCACCAGAACGGATGCGATTATTTGCATGCATAATTGCGTTGCTTCTTTCCTTTTTTGTGCACCTATGGAGTGTTGAGTCAGTTGGGTGTGAGTCTGACATGTGAAAGAGGCGCCAGCTGTAAGCCGGTCAGTCCTGTGCGAATGGCCACGACTGCCTGTGTCACACCCATATTCTTTTTGAGGGTGCATTGTCTTATGCATAGAGCCTCGTGGACTCACAAGATCGAAGATGGCGGTCAAAACAGGTAGGGATGGCTGCCCCACGCTGCAGCTCTCTCCAGATCTGCCGTGTGCAGCGCGGGATCGCGATTTCGGACGAGCAACTATTCGCGGCGCTACACGGCCTTTCTAAACTAATGCTGCGTGCCCACAGTTCACGGTTAAGGGCTCTTGGGAGTCGAGCACAGCAACAGGTGGTCAGAGGACTCCCGGCCTTTGATACCAGCTACACGTAGGACACATGATCCATGGCTGCATGTGCAGTAGCCTGCCAACACTGGACCTGCAGGTACAGGTGGAAGCTGCGTGTCGTATCAGCGTCGGTTGACGACTACTGCCGACGCGACACCTTCGCCGGCTTTGTTTAGTTGATCCTTGCCGATGACGATGTACCATGCGCATGTCCCCACGCTCCCTAGCATGCGCTGCACGCATCGAATACTTCAAAGGCGTCAATGCCGACCCTTCTCGCGCTCGTTTCGTCGTCCGGCGACAACATTGCACAAGCATTGAAGCGACAAGCCTGTGACGCACCTTCCGCGACTTGCGCGACCGAGGCGCATGACCACCCGCAGTTGACCATCTCCGGCCACCCTACACCGCGTCTTCTCGAAAAGCACTATTACTAGGCTACAGACTCCCTCGACCGCGACAGACTCCCTGGAAACCGACTCCCTTACTTCGACACCACCGCACGCTGCATTCACGACCGCTCGATCTAACGATCCTCCTACCACCGGCTAAGCCAGGCTTCGTAGGATTCGCGCATGGCGTGTACCGGCGCTCGATGTCATTGCTGTCTGACACCATCTTTACAGGCGGCAGTACGCGACTGCACGTAAGAGGAGGACAACATGGGCAGAAATCCATAAGGAAGAGCAAAAGCCATGGCGGCTTCCTCGGACCCCTGGTGCAGCTGGCTAGGAATCCGTTGGGGACTCTGGGCGACCCAGCAGGCGACTACCATGTTCCTGAATTAGCCGTGGATGCTGCGGAAGCAAATCGTAGGCAGGTCCTGTACCTGCACATGAAAGACGTGGGTCCCTCAGATTGGTGGTGCCCTTTCACATGCTGACGAGATCGCCACGCAGGCCGAGACATACGACCAATGGAAAGCCGCCGCGACCGAGCTCGATATCCTAGAAGGAAACGAAGCCTGGAAGGAAGAGGACGACACTCCGGAATACAATGTGGATCTGGTTGCTGCCCGGCTGAAAGAGCTGGACGATGCTCGCATGAGCTGCGACGTGAAGAGGATGCTGTTCCTGATCAGGACCACCCTCACACGCGGATTGGGCGACATGGGCGACCTGCGTCTGTACAAGCACTCGCACATTGGAACCAAGCGTCTGATCGAGAGGTACATCGAGTCGGCTCAGCAAACTATGGCCGCTCTGCTGGACGTCTCGGAGAAGCAGGGAGATCAGTGTCCTATCGAGCCGCGGCGGCTGGTCGACCAATTGCTTCAGACACGCCAATCATTCGGTAGGAGCGCATTGTTACTCTCTGGCGGTGGAACCTTTGGGATGAACCACATCGGCGTCGTCAAGGGTCTTTGGGACGCTCGTCTTCTCCCACGCATCATATCGGGAGCCTCTGCAGGAAGCATCGTCAGTGCTGTTCTATGCGCAAAGACCGATGCAGAGATCCCGGAGGTTATGCACCAATTTTGCTTTGGGGACTTGAACGTATTTGAAAGCCCGGATCACCCAGAAGGCATGATCAACAAAGCAATGCGCTTGATGAAGTCTGGAGCTCTCTTTGACATTGCACATCTCATGCGAGTTATGCGTGATCTGCTTGGCGACTTGACCTTTCAAGAAGCATACAACCGGACTCGACGTATCTTGAACATTCCTGTTTCGACTTCGTCGCTCTACGAACTGCCCAGACTCTTGAATTACATCACAGCGCCGAACGTGATGATCTGGTCTGCAGTGTAAGTTTACGAAACTAAGGAACCATTATGGCTATGCTAACGCTACGTAGATGCACCTCTTGCTCAGTTCCGCTCGTCTACAAGAAGGCATCTCTGCTGGCCAAGGACCCGAAGACCGGCCTGGAAGTACCTTGGGATCCAAACCCTGACGCGACATGGATCGATGGCTCAGTAGACAACGACCTACCGATGACCCGGTTGGCCGAGATGTTCAATGTCAATCACTTCATTGTCTCGCAGGTCAACCCACATGTTGTTCCCTTTCTGGCGAAAGAGGAGGAGATTGTCGCTGCAGAAGCCCAAGGCGCCGCCACTGGTCCCGGTTGTATGAATCTCTCAGCTAGTCTTTGCAAGGGTGAAGTAATGCACCGCCTCCAGCAGCTAGCGGATACTGGGTTTCTCCCAAACCTTGTCACAAAAGGACGTTCGGTGCTCAGCCAGCGATACTCAGGCGACATCAACATCTTCCCCAAGATCAACTATGCGGACTTCCCTAGAGTCTTGAGCAACCCCACGCCCGAGTTCATGGTCGGATGCATGCTGACTGGACAGCGAGCTACATGGCCAAAGCTCTCGCGGATACAAAATCATGTCGCTATTGAGCTCGCGTTGGACGACACGATCCAGAAGCTCAAGGGACGACTCGTCTTTACACCACAGCAAGACGTCAATATCAGGCGGACCAGCTCTCAGGATAACGATCTCGCTCAAAGAAAGCGAGCGAAATCGACGCATAAGATGACGCGCTTCGAGCTCAGGACGGAGCCTCCTAGCCCTGTGTTGCGAAAGTCTGCACCAACCAGTCCTCTCTTGTCTCGTGCAGCCTTGAGAGCGTCCTCACAACCGCTTTCCGTTGCGAAGCAAGCTCAAGGCGCAAACAATGCAAGGCGCCAGTGGACCGAGACCATCCAACTCGATCCCATGTCGTCCACAAACGACACGTCTGACCACGACTACTTTGCCGACCCCGAGTCAGACACTACAGACAGGCTCTCTTCACCCTCGCCTTCTACATCACCCACGTTCACCGGTCCTACCCTCTGGCCTTCAACTCCTCAAGCTACGATGCAAGCCGCCCCACAGCCTACGCTACAGCCCACGCCACAGCCAACTCAAAGTCCGCTCAGTCGTCGTACTAACACGCTGTTCAACCTCACCATGACCTCTGCTGCAAGATCCTCTTCCAATCCAAACGTACCAAGCTCACCAGAGCTGCGGTACAAGCGCCTCTTCCACCCTCCAGGGCCCGCTACGCCCGATGTCAGTGTAGGCCCACCGATACTGGAGGTAGAACCCATCAACACAACACGTTCTCCGTCTGCCAGTAGACCTGGTAGCCGGCGTGGTAGTGCATCGGGTCTGCCAATAGATCCCTCAGGGACGAGGGGCATGCTGCTGAGGAAGAAGAGTTACATGTAACGTGGACGGTTGAGCTTGATGTCTTTTTCGCGACTACCCTTCTTATACATAGTCTTTCACATTCTGTTAACCCTTTAACCATCTTCGCACACCTTTTCATTTGTTCAACCAGCATGGAAGGCGAATCAGATAGGTCGCCACACGATTCGAGAGAGTAGACTGGAATACCAACAGCAACAGCACACAAGAGTAGTGATACCCCTTCCGTGTACCGTATCTCTATAAATATACATAAGACGTAGCAGAGACCAGACCATACAGATGATGATATAAATACACAATACAAATCCAATATTACTCGTCGTCATCATCATTACCTCCATCTCTCACCCGTTCATTACCAACCCCTCAAATCATTCATTCATTCATTCATTCGTTGACCCCTCCCCCTCCGTCTCCCTAAAAACCTGCTTAACCTCCTTCCCCCTCCACCGCTCAAACAACTCATACCCAAACACCAGCACAATCGGCAAGCTCACCATTATCGCTGTTACCCGGCGCGACGCGGGCTTGTATTTAGGCGGTAGTCTGATGTCGGGTGTGGGCTCGATGAGGCGCGTGGGGTGCTGGCGGTGCGGTGGAGATGGAGGTGCTTGTTGGTTCGAGGGACGGATGCTTGTTGGGTAGGGGTTTGGCGGTATGTGGCGGGTGGAGGGTGTGGGTTTGGAGAAGCGTGGGTATGGGTTTGGAGGAGGCGGTGAGGAGATGGGTGAGGGTGCTTTTGTGGGGTGTGAGGGGAGGGGGATTGTTGTTGGGCGTGGGGAAGTAGGTCTTGAGGTCGGTGGAGTAGGAGGAGTGGTCGTAGATGCTGCTGATACTGCTGGTTTCGACGGCGAGGACGCTGGTTTCGTTGTCGGTTCCCGGGTCTGGGGTTGTAGCGCCGCAGTCTTCTTGTCTGTACTCGACGCTGCCTGATCCAAGACCTTCGCAGCCTGTGCCTTCTTCAACGTCCCTTTTGCTTGTACCTCCTCTATTATCTTGCTTGTAGACAGCGCAACGGGCGTGGGTTGTTCGGGCGCAACTGCCAACTGAGGCGCATCTTTCTTCGCGGCAGGAGTAGCAGCAGGAGCAACCGTCTTTGCGCTCTTCGTAACCGTCTTCTTCTCTTTCTTGACTTCCACGGGTTTCGCCTTTCCAGCAGGCTTCGCGGCGACCTTCTTTACTGCCACCTTGCTCGCTTCAACCGCTGGTATTGGCCCCGCATCCTCGGCTACGACTTTCTTCGGGCGTCCGCGTTTCTTA